TTTCTGAAGTATGAGAATAGAATGATTGCAACACCTTTGTCTCCCATTTGAAGACAGCTTCTCTTTGCCTTGGGCAGGCTTTGTGCACCTCTTACTGGAAGCTGCACTCTCATTGTACAATGTATTTAGCTGGGAAAAATAACTCTTCAGCCTTTTTTTTTTTTTCTCAGCATTGGCATAAATATGGGCAGTACATGGCCCTATAGCCTGAACAGCTGATGAATACACGATTTTCCTATGATTTAGAGTTGAAAATAGGAAGGTTTTTTTCTGACTGTTGCTTTAAATGTTTGTAATGTTTCAAACTATAGTGTTTCTTCATATGCTGTAACTAATGAAAGAGGAAGCCAGAGTTCTTGACTGTACCCACTCTGTCATTCATTTTGAGTGTGTATAGGGTGCTCCACAATGGAGGGCTGTAAGTACAGCTGCAACAAAATTACTGAATCAGCACACCACCAAGCTCTTTGACAGTGCCTTTCAGCTACAGGTCTCATAGTACTTAGATGTTGGTGTCATTATTCAGATATATAAGCAGAGAAATGGGAATTGGAGCTAGCAAGCCACTGTCAATATCTACTCAAAAAGCAGCAAAATTCCTCAAGGGAATTACCAGATCTACCTGATCTGGTAACTGCCTTTTAATCACCAACAATATGAATATACAAAATATCCTGGGTTAATTTCCTGTGTATTAGGCTTCAATAACGAGGGTTAGAATTAGTATCTTAAATCCCTTTGTTAGACAGAGGTTTGTGAAATGAATGTCCTTGCTCCCCTTTCAGTTTTGTTCTGTTCAAGCACTGTGAGTTTTTATTTTACGATCATGTCTACTTTAGGGGGAAAAGAAAGAAAAACCCAACAAGGAAAACAACCCCCCAGAAAACCCTGTACCACCATCTTGTTCCTTGTTACCTGTACAAAAGTAATGAAATATAATTACCTTGAGAGATAACACTGGAGTAACTTGCTTAACAGATTTAACAGAAATGCTTCTTGAGTTTGGATGTGTTTAACTGGATATGTGCTTTACTCTGCTGTAATTTTCGTGCTCATCTCTGAAACATGTCTTTATTCTCCACCCTAATTAAACAATCTGGATTCCAGGAGAGCTGAACAAAAAAAAAACCACACAACCCAGGCTCCAAACAACAAAACACCTTAGTGCTAAAGCAAACACTCTGATCATTGATGCACTTTCTTTTGTTTCATCTGGGACTGTCATCTCCTTCACTGGCTGTCTGAAACATGCAGCATTAAGGGACCTGATACATTTCAATTTACAATGCTTCCCACACTGCCTGTTATATTTTTTTACTGTTGAAAACAAAACCCAACCAACCAAAACCCAACCACAAAAATGTTTGACTTAAGGGTACATCAATTGTCCAGGATCTCTGGATGCTGCAGAAGGTGTTTATGCTATACCACAAAGTGTTGCATAGTTTGGATATGTTTATAGGAGTGTTGTTTTTAGGCTACACCTGGATCTCTGAGGGACAAAGATGGCTGTCACTTTTATGGCTGCAAATAACATTTTATTTTTAAATAGTATTAAAGGTATTTTAAATAATATTAATAATTTTAATTTATATTAACTAATATTAAAGTCTTAAATTTAGCTACAAATAACATTTTATTTTAAATTAGTATTAAAGATGTCATGAAACCCTACATGTCTGTTAGTAATTTGAACTGGTGTTAGCCAATGCAGTAAATATTGAGATTAATAGCAACTATGCATTTTAAGGTATGCTTGCGAATAGTACCTGTGAGGGGGACAAAACTGAAACAGAAACAAGCAACTCAACACAAAAAGCAACTTTGGCAGTTATGTTAATTCAGATAATGCAGACTGATTTATTTTATTTTGGGGGGTAGGTTTTGCAGCTTTTTTCCAGCATTAGATTAGATTAGAATTTTAGCAGTTAAAAAGATTCACTGCTACGATGTAATTTTAGACCTCAGGTGTCACAGATTGCTCATACCAAGTATTATGGGCACCTCTCCACACCCAGGGAAGTGGTGGAGTCACCATTCCTGGAGGTATTTAAGAGGTGTTGATGTGGTCACAGGAAATGATTTAGTGATGGGCGTGGCAGTGCTTGGTGTTAACAGTTAGATTTGAGGAATTTTGATGTCTTTTCCAACCTAAATGATTCTATGATTTTAAACACTTCCTTTCAGAGAGGAAAGGAGAGATTTGTGGTTTTTGATTAGGGAAGAAAAAAGACAAGATGTGTGTGCCTGTGTATTCATGTATATATTTATGTCTTCTAGTTTCTCTTGAAAGTAGCTTACATCAAACCCAGTAATTCATGGAGGGGAGAAAACAGTATTTCTGTGTTATTCTACTAGTAGGTTTTTTCTCATGAAGCCATTGCTGTCAACTGCTGTACAAAATATTTAAATTGTAAGGTTCATTTTGTGAAGAATTATCTCATTCTCACTAACACTTTGTGAAAAGGATATTTCTGTTTATTTGAATGAAAAATGCTGCATTATGCACTCCAGTGAGTAATCTAAAATAAGCACAGCGATACATTTTTGTTTGCTCAGTGTCTTGTTGCAACCCAAATTTTGGTGATAACACACATGCCTCTATTATTTTGCTTAGGTTTAAAAATGCAGGTTTATTTACAGTAGAGAAAATAGTTTGCTTCTTACGTAATGTACCAGCAAGACCTGAATAAATCTGTTGCTTCCAGTAACAAAAGGATAAAAATCTGTCAGATGAAGAAACACACTGATGGAGACATGAACGTATGAAAGAATGAAAGGCTGGCAGTATGCTTGTAAATTGCTGTTTTCAAGTTGCCCTAATATTTGCTGTGATGACAATAATAATAATCACTAAAAAAAAAATCTAAGTACATTTTTAAATCTGAAATTGACTTTTAAATAACTCGTTTTGATTTTAAATCTTTTTTTTCTGAGCAGAAAGCTTTGCTGATATGTGCTGTTAACAAGCATCATGAAGAGCCTGCTTCATGTCCCTAATGAAAATCAACACTAGGAAGTTATTAAAGATACTAAGATGCAGAAAATGATCTAACATAGAACTTCTGTTCAAGTTATTTAGCACTTTAAAATTATTTTTGTATTAAACAGAAATGTTGGCCAGTTTTACAAGTTTTACTCCTGCAGATACATTGTGTTTATGTGGGACTGATTCTGCAAATGTTCTTGTAAGTTTAATATATGTGAGATCAGAATAAAAATAAAACAGGACTGCTCACGTAAGAACACTTCTATAGTGCCAGTATTTAAAATCACGTTGGCACAACAAGAAGAATAGGGAGAACTCTCATTTAAAAATTAATTTAAGATTCTTTTAATTTACTTTCTACTTACTGAACTCATGATCTAGTGGCTGTCAATCCTTTCCTGCAACTGTCAGATGCAGAAGCTGTAATTAAAAGCACGCTAAACCTACAATACATTGTCTATATTCCAAGATGTGTAGGAGTTGCTAATAATTGAGTACTGAGGGAGGGAAATACCCTTAAGATTGTTCAAGTTACTCTCTGCTATGTTAACTATGACTTATGAGTGCTCAGGAAGGTCCTGTTGTGGCAAGCCTGACTGCTGCTTTCTCTAGGAGAGGGGAAGCAGCTAATTTTAAACAGCAAATTATAAAAGTAAAAGCAAAAATCAGTGAACTTATAAGGAAATGGAAGTACTTAAAAATAAAAACAGACAACCCACCAGACAGCATTCACTTCAATGCAGTTTTGGTTTTTATGCACTGGAGAAGTTATCCTAGCTGTATCATTTGATATGCAGAGCATCTGAAGATACAAAGATAATTAAGGAAAGGGGACAAAACCCACACCACACAGACTTACAAACACATTGTACTAGCTTTGCTTCTATTTTTTCTATTTTTTTTATTCCTTTTTAAACAGTGTTTAAGAAAAATATGCTGTGTTACCATAACAAACTAAAATACTCTCTCAACCTCTTAAGATTTTAGGTTTTGTTTTCACTTCTTTCTTTTGGTTCCAGGTAGGTTTTATTTGTTCTTGTTCTACTTTACAAAACTGTTTCTCAACATTAATGGCTTCAGGAAGAAGAAATAAGGGAGAATTATGAGTGCAAAAGAGAGCTGACAGTTGTATATGCTATGTATGCCGACACCGTCTCTTGTGCCACTTGTAAGTGGGTAAGGGTAGAGAAGAAACAGGACATAATGTGTTACAGAATACAGTCAGATGTGAATTCCAGCTGGCATTCACTAAATCAAAAGGGAATATTTTCCTCATGTAAAATCATTGTTAAAATCCCAACCATACATAGATATGGAATAACGGGGTCACTGATTTTCCACTACTTCAGTAAGATGTTGCAGCAAGCTAATGACTTTACAAGACAGAAAGTTGAAAGCATTGATTTGCTGCCAATTCCTCAATCTGTAACTAATGAGCCCCTCTACAGGTTTTCCAGTAAACCAATACCATTAGAATTTCCAGTTTGCATAAGCTCGCATTACTCAGTCTGTGGACACAGAATGATTTTTGTCAATAACCTTTAACAGCCCCTTCTTGTTGCTGGGTTCTGTTTTTTTTTTTTTTTTAACTCTCTGTAATATGGGTAGATTGGATAAAATCCCTGTCCTGAGGGTTATGACACATGGCTGAAAAGACTGTCCACTTCTACACAGGTGCACGTGCATCCCTTGTCAAGTCCTAGATATTCCCTTGTAGAAGACAGCTAAAATCCAAGAAAGCAGGATGAGATGACAAATGGAATTCAGTCTCTGTCACCTGTAGCACTAAAACTCTCCCCCATTTGAAGGTGGACTGTATTTTACAGAGTGTGAAGTCATGTGGCAACTGTTATTTGGACCCACACACGTAATTCTTCATAACAAGCTGAAATCTCTCCTGTATGGAAAAAAAAAATAGGAAAGATAAAAACCTCTGAATTGAGTGACAGGACTTTTGTCACATATCTGCAGTATAGAAACAGGAACTTGAGAACTATGCTTGCTAAACCGATCAAGTTCTAGATTACTTTATTACTGGTGATGCCAGTTATGTTTGTACCATGGTTTCTCCAGGCTTTGTAACAAAAGGGTCAGTTCTACCATTACAAATTACTACAGGATAATTTTAGGCAAAACAGTTATAGGCAAGCAGAAGTTCAAATCCTGTCAATTAACAGACTCAGAAAAAACACTGTATTGGGTGTTACTAAAGAGCAACGTGGCTGTAGAGCTGTTAGTATGGGAGTGTTGAATCATCCCACTCCAGCTGCTCTTGCCTGGTGACCTTCTGTTTATCTATCTTCTGGACAATCACTTCCTCTTCCTCCTCCTCATCTTCCTCCTCGTCTTCACTTTCATCAGATTCAGCACTGGTTGTGTCTTCCTCTTCATCTTCCATATCTTCATCACTTTCCTCTTCTGTCTGATGAGGCTTTTCATATTTCTACAGTACAGTTAGAGAAATGAAATAGACATAGAAGAAAACTGCCTTCTTCCTAGCCAGTGGCTGTGAGAATGTGAGCATTTATTCCATGTTTAGAAACACTAATGTGCTGGGAACATCTGCTTTCCATCATTACGTGACTATTAGGAATCAAATATAATAGAATTCAGTAGCAAATACTCAAAAACTACTCTAACAAGAATGGAATGTCAGTAAGCAGTATCTTAGTTAGTCAAGCTGCCAAAATGTTTCTTTAAACTAGTGATCGTTTTCCCTCTTCTAGTGATTTGTGCTTACATCAAAAAGCTAAAAACTAAGTAATATCATCTTGGGTACCTAGGATGCAAGTAGGGATGGAGACAAAGTGGTGTTGTACACAAGGATTCTTCATCATCTTATTTAGTAATTTTATATGACAACACATATTACTTTATCAGTTATATGTTACCATGGTAATATCATGATATATAGTATTATGCCTTGGCTATGTACCTCCATGGGGTTGACAGTAATAGTCAGAGCAGAATCATCCCAATCCATTTCATTTTCTTTACTTCCTTCATTGTCTGCAGAGCTGTGCTGATGAGCTGTCCGAATTCGATAGACCCCCAAGGTTATGATGAAAATGAGTATGCTCACACAGATTATAATAACGATAGTAGCCACACTTGGAACAACTGGAACAAAAGGTGGAAAACAGAATGTGCTTATATTTGTGGAAAAAATGACTACAAAACACTAAATACATTGTCTATTTTCTCCCTTCAGTACCTTTTCCTTTGGATTGAGAATCGGCATAGCCATCTCCTATGTACCTAGGACTACAGAAAGTGTGGAGAAGTTACATCTACTACGGCAGAGCATCCACAAATGTGTTTACAGACTAAATTGTGACTAAAAAGTGAGTATGCTTATCATTTGTTTTATCAAGCCACTTCATTACAGAAGACGAGTAGTCAATTCATGCAGAATTAGTTCCAGAACAAGTGGTTTTGCAGTAAGGTTCAGTTATCTCACCTGCGTGTTGCCCCCTTCTGATTAAAGCTGAGGTGTTAACCTCACTTGTGAGAAAAAGTATATCTCAAAGCTTGTATTTTCAAAGGTTTCAAACACTTCTACTGTGATTTAAACCTCAATGCCCAAGGAATAAAATAACACATTGCCACTCTATTTGCTTGTGGGAAATAGCTTCCTGGGAGACTTGTGAGGGATTCAAGACATTTTTCCTCATTGTTCTGTCACACTCTGAGAAGTCTCTGTCTCTACCTAATCATAGGAAGAAACTTCACTGACTTATTACAATATTATCAGCTCAAAAATAAGGTTAGTGAGGATGTGCTGCTGCTTTCTATGTAACCTTTGCTACCGAGGAACTGCCATAGCAGGAGCTATAGTTCCATAAAGAACTAGTTTGCAACAGTTTGTTTTGCAAAAGTTCAGCTTAATTTTAGTAAAATCTCTGTAGAAGTGTACAGAAAAATACAGTAATTTTCTAAACCTAATTTTATATAACTACTTCTAATTACCTACACTTTACATAAACTTTACTTCTTTATATATGTATTATTCAGCTAAAAGGATTTCAAAATCCAGCATTTAAACGGGTATCTTTCTTTACCCTGGGTTTAACTTCTATGAAAAAGCTTTACATTTGGGTATATACTTTAAGAGCTTAAAAATTCGTTTTAATTTCTCTATTTAGTACATACTAATTCCCGCTTCACCTGTCTCCTCTCCAGGGAGCTCCAGATAGAGCCTGACAGTAGCTAACAGAAGTACTGCAGTGCTTATAGATTTCTTCTTTTTTCTTGGAAAGAGCTGGGCAGAAATTACTAGGCCATAGAAGCAGAGATGTATGAAGAGAATAGGAGCATAAATACTATCCTTCAGATGATTCAATAGTAGAAATGAGACATTTTCTAACAATGTGGATTAGCATTTAATGAAGACTAGTTTTTAAAGACAGAGTACCTCATTGGAAATAACAGAATTTAATGATAGGTGTTTCATACCTGTACAAATATATCTCTGAGGTTTCACAAGCTGTAATTATGGACGTCATGGCTTTATTTGTGGGTAACAATACTGACATATCAGAATCACTATAAGCAGTCTCTAAACTCATCGCATACCTGAGTTGTGAACAGCACTTGTGCTTCCCTCTGGGTGGTGGACAGATTGGAGAAACTGTGGTTGTATTATCATATTGTTTACGTGGTCCATGAAATTGGAGTTGGAGCTGTGTAGAATATTAACCTGGCACAAGAGAAACGTAAGAGATAAGGTACTAACAAGTGCTCAGTATTCCAAGCCTGCTGGAATACATATATATGTATTTTAATTATGTAATATTTTAATGCATGTAAAATATATTTCTATTATGTAATATACAGTATATATATAAATATATAAAAATATGTATTTATGTTCCTATCTGCTGATGAACCCCATAGTTCAATGTAATATATATTTTTATATATATTTCATGTATAAATTACATATTACATATATATTACATGTATACCATATATGTAATATATAGTATGTATAACACATTTTATGTATGTATTCTTATACATACATAAAGGCTCAGCAGACATACGCTCAAGAGTGCCATCTATTCCTGTGGTAACTGACCACGTCCAGGTGCTGGATCTAATGCTTTTGTCACCTGTATACTGACTTCCCTCCTCAGAAAAAATGGAAATAATGTAAATTATCAGGAGTGATCTTCATCTGATGACTTGTAAAACTTACTGTAAGGGGGTAGTGCTTGAAAAAACTGAAAAGGTGAATGCTGCAGGAAACAAAATCATGTCAGGGTAATTGAAGGATTATTAATCTAAGGAAAATAATGAGGCTGTAATGATTCACTTTCAAGCAGGTGTATAAATCTTCACAAAGACCTGTAGGAGATTTTATGTCATAAACAAACAATGATGACCTTAGTTTCCATTCTGTTTGACCAGGCTCAGAACTCCACTAATGCAGGGAGTTAAGAGAAGGGTCATCTTACAGAATAAGAGACCCCCTCACTGAGAAATGCCCACAGGGGATGTCACCTTCCTCTTTGAATGCAACTTAGAATTTTTCCTCTATTTAATTACAGTTACACAGAGCATGTCTGTAATTTTACAGACTTTAAAGAAAACTCCATGTTGCTGAAAAGAAGGCTAGAACTTAGCCTCTGTGCTGGAAAAGACTTGACTAAATGATTGCTTACCTCCACGTTAAATTCATTGCTAGTGTAACGTCCATTCAGCTCTGAGCACTTAACTCTGAACTTTCTGTCAAAGGTGGCAGAAGTGTCCCAGTTACGATAGCGAATCTGCCGAAGAACCTGTTCATAGTTGTTCATACTGTCCACACCTGAAATGGAGAGGAAGCAGTAATCATCTCATGGAGATGCTATGTGCAGTACAGGAGAAATAATATGTTCCCAGAAAGTACAAAATATGGCAGAATGATCTGAAGATGGTATGCCTCAGATACTCCCTGATGGAGCCTCTGGCTGATACCAAATTATGTGAACGTAGTTTTAGGAAATTACTGTAGATCTATAATGGAGATGAATAAATACAACAGCAAAGATTTAGAATAAATAGTTTAGTAATTGCAAAAAATGGCCCATGAGTTACCAGCACTGTGTGAGGAATACCCTCATTCCCAGTTCAACTCTGGTGGTCTCTAAGTACCCCTACATTTAAAGAAAGCAGTGTTTCTATTTTCCTTATGTGGGAAGTAGCAGAGAGGGTGCCAAGATCAAGACAAAGCTATGGTACATTCCAAAGGATAAATAGCACATGTAGAGGCCAAAAAGTAACTATGTTTTTTGAGACACGGTCTCTCCTGGAAGATTTTATGGCTAGTACATCACAGATTTTTGTCTAATTTCTTCCACATTAGCCCTTTCTATTTCAATACTGTAGGTAAGAAATAAGGGAAAGCAAAATCCATTAACATACCATAGACTGAATATCCTGCTGTGGAATTTGTGGCATCTAGATGTCTTCCCTGGAGATCCACATGATCTAGTTCTAAGCACTCTTGTTCAGGATCTAGTTCTGTGCCAATCACCAAAACATCACAGAAATCCAAGTTGTGCAGCATTTCCTCTAAAACCACTGGTTTATTAGCTGTGAACAAATGGCATATAACATGAAAAAAGAAGAAATAAACTAAGATAAATGATCACAGAACAGCTCAGTTATTTTATGTGCTTTGCATCAGGGCTTTGCATCATTTTTCTAAAGATGGTTGAATTGTTTTTTGTCAACGTTAAATACAGCAGCACACTTGAAGCAAATCAAAAGAGGTGTCTTGCCTGTTCAGGTGCTATGGTGGTGAAGGCCTACAAGTGCCTAGTGAGGATGGATACAGAAAATATATTGCTCTGTAATAAAAGTCATTCAAGAACAGTCCTGGCAGTAGAAAATTGAAATTTGATGCTGCAAATAAATCCATGTAAACAGGTCTGATTTTCAGTACTGTTCTGATAGCAGACTGGTATCAAACATTCTCAAGGGAAACCAAACAGGAAAAATGAGTGTTAAATATATCTCCACTTGGATGATTTTCTCAGTTGGCCATCTATCCAAGAACGTGGTATTATCTTAAATATGTGACTCGGAGAAACTGAGTTGCAAACTGACTACACTTCAGTAGGTATGATTAGGAAAAAACTGTTGCTGGAAAAAGAGTACCACATCAATTTACTATTTAAATTCTCTAATCAGATCAGCTCAGAGGGTCAGGCAAGACTGCTTTACCAACTCCCTGAGGGTACTGTAGACACAGAGACTGCAGACTTGGAATTTAGTGCTTGTTCTGTGGATTTCATTTTAGAGGGTGTATGGGGGAAGGCAGGCATGGACAGAAGAGACTTATGCCTTAAATTCCCAACTCCTGGTACAGTGAATTTTGGGTATCACAACTCCAGGTACAGCTCTAACTTAGACAAAAATGCAGACTCAAATTTGTCAGATAATATCTGGGATGAGAGAAATAATGATTGAAGCTTTTCATGCAGGAATTGAGACTTAGAATTCAATAATCTTTTGCAAAACACTTATCCCCAAAGCCAATTATTACCTGTCCATTTTAACCAATTATTATTTATCCATTTTAACTCTCAGTGGAAATAAACAAGAGATGGCACATTAGTAGGTGCCTGACTTTCAAGAATTAAGCAGTAGTTTAAGAAAAGCTGTTACGTTCCCTTCCAAGGGGAGACTAAGGCTTTTTATGTTATAAACAGTAATTATGTCAATAATTGTATAGGAAAAAATTGGAAGACGGAATTTATGAACTGAACTGGAGGGCAGTAGTTCCTAATTCACTGAACAGTTCTAAAGATGACATAACATTTAGGGACACAGAGCATCATAGATCCATTGTGTCTTAACCAATTGGTAACAATCACTTTTTTCTAGGCAAGACTTCAATTTTCTTTATATACTGCAATTGTATGCAGTTGCTATTAGAATGTGATGATATGATTTCAGCCTTCAGAGCGCAGATGCAGTTTCAGGGAAGTGATGTGCAGCATTATTACAGAGCACAGCTCCACAGAATCCATGCCCCTACACTTTCGTATCATTAGGGGATTTATCTTTTCAAAATCTATACACCTAGTTGCTGTTTATTCTAGTCCAAGAAATACCATTTAGGGTGATTCCTCAGATTATTAAGCTTTTAATTTACTTTGCACACAAACATCCAAAGGAAGATTCCTTTACAGACAATTATAGACTATTCTATGATATGTGATTTTATAGCTTACTTTTGAACATTTACCTAGTGTTGAACAATAACATACACAGCTCTCAGCATTAGAATAAACTGTCATCATTGAAAAAAAATTCTTTGCAGATTATTACTGCATTACATATGTGGGAAACCGAGGCACAAGATTTCTCAATTATCACCCAACCTAGTCAATAGCAGAGCTGGGAACATAAGAACAGACTAAACTTGCAACTATTTGTCAATTACTGCTTTCCACTTTATCAGTACAGTAAACAAAATAACAAATTCTAATGAAAAGATGTTATTCAAAGGAACACGTGGAGAAGAGTGGAAAGGAATTATTTGGAAGTAGGCAGGACACTAAATGGAAAAGCGGGGTATTTTGGAAGCACATACTGATCCATCCCTATTTAATACTCTGTTAAATTTACGCTATTTAACAATGTGTTTAATTGAATGTCTTCAGTCCAGCATTACTGTGGCCTGTCATTGCCTAAATGAATCTGGGTGAAATGACTTCATGGTGCTTGTCTACACTATCCTTTAAAAAACATAATAGTTTGGAACTAGATGATCTTTCCTTTCCAAACCTAACAACAAACAAATAAATATTTAAAAGAAATCTACAAACCTCTGTCATGTTCATCCACTGGATGCTCCATTTTAGTGACTGTGCTGACAATTCTGATGTCAGGTAACAAAGTAATACCTCTTTCACTTTCAAATTGTGCAGCTGGTCTAGCAAAGTGGTCCGTCCCACTTATTGTAATCTTGGGCTCATTGGCCTGAAACACCATTACATAGGCATCTATATCTGGGATACTAATGCAGACATCTTCACCAAAACATCTGAAAGAATATGTTATTTGTTAACTGCATGTAATACACTGCACATCAGAGGTGTGTGGCACTTGCATAGCCCAAAACCCACCTGATGGCTCTCTTCATTTTGTAGTGACTCAGATTAGCCTAGCCCATACTTTGGTACATGCATCTGTACCACCGTGTACATGGGCCAGCAGTGACGGTAACAGCTCTGTTCCTCTCATCCCCTCCCACATTCACAATTACTGAATTAATTGTGGGGACAGTAACAGATTCATGACAAGCTCACCGAGAATAATATTCTGTTGTTTAACTGACATGTAACAAAGTAGTGGATGCTTAAAAAAAAGATAAAAGTAAATCAGATGCTAACAACTAATGTCAGTAAACCTAACATCAAATTCTCCAAGAGGTACCTAATGTTGTCATGTGTGAATAAAAGGGATTAATTCTCCATTTAAAATGGTCCCATCATGAACTCATTCTGGCACCCCCCCTCCACCCAGTATTTACTGAGGACAAAAGGGGCCTATTTTAAAGGGGCATTTTAATCTGAATCAGCACTGTGCTTTGGAATTGAATCTGCTGACAGACTCTACCTTTGATCTTGGCACAAGGCTTGGGCCAGCCTTGGAAACGGGACTGTTTCCAATGAAACTGCATCAGAAGATGGTCTCCAAACAGCATGGTCAGCCCACAGGAACTACACTAAACCTTGCATTAGTAAGAACTGTACATGCATTAGATGAGGGCTTGTAGAACTGATGTTTATTTTCATTCTGAAGATTTGCTTTCACTGCACTGTGGAACTTGCTGTAAGGGATGTACCCAGGGGAGCTCAGGAGTGACAGATGGCTCTGATTATGTAAAACAGTAGACACTATTGTGCAGGTTCTACCACTACTCTTTGCGTGAAAATGAAAGGACACAGATTTAACACCCAGAACTTCAGTAACTACAGCCGTTAAAGAACACAGACAAAAACTATTTCAAACATAGCTACAAATACTGTTCTTGTAGATATGTCATCTGTTACATATAATAGACCTGCTTTAGAAAGTCAAAGCTTTAATTCTCAGAAGAAACTGTAACTTTTAAAAATGAACTGTAAAATAAGAATTTGATAAATGCAACAAGCACTGTTCAGTCCAGACTGCATGCTCCAAACTGTAAACAGAATGCAAGAACATGACACAGAAAAGAGTCTTAAAAGGAAAACATAAAAAGAAAACTACAATGTAAATCAGCATGAAAGTAAATCAGATTAATCCTTTATGCCCAGTAACAGAAGTATGATTCAGCCATGTAAATTAGCAATAATTCTTCTTTTCACATGTCCTCCCCCCAAAAAGTAATTCATTAAAAATATTCCCAATCTTATCAGTTCAGATGAAGATAACTTACTGGACTTTGGATGAGACTTTGAGACGTCGTACGCCTGCAGTAGGAAACTGTCTAGAGTTGATATATGAGACCTTTCGGAGAGCTTGATTTATAATCTCAGTGTCATCTCCTTCCACGACAAGGACTGACTGGGAAGGGTTGAAGTGATACTAGGGGAAATGCACATAATTAGTATAAGGAACCACATACATAGTATTAAAAAAGATATTTTTAAGGAATGATGCACATGAAATCTAATGATTTAAGATAAAAAAAATTATTAGTAGCTTTTGTTGGCTGAATCCATATGTTGTTCCCTAAAACATGCACTCATATCAGTCGTCTGTTTCATATCTGAATAACTTCTGTTATAATTAATTTTATAGTAAACTAATCCCAGTTTGCTGTGCTTTGCCCAGCCTTATCAAAGATACTATTTCTGCAGATGTGGAGCTTGAAATCTTAACTGTCACTATTAATATTACTATGTTAATTTTTTTAGATTAAACACATCTCGCATATAGAAATATTGGCTTAAACCAGAGTAGAATGGATAAGGATATTCTTTCTGCTTTCCGTGTGTTTTTTTTACCCTGGGCTATCGTTCAGATATATTTCATCATGAACTAACAAAACAATAATAACATTTGCCTCCTACATCTTCGTTAGTCAGACAAAATAAAGGGGATTCTCCTTTCTCTGTCTCATGATTAAGAAAGGTGACATCATTTAAAATGGAGGTTCTCCTTGCACAAAACTAGCTGCTCATTTGAGCCAACTTTGCAAAGTCAATGGTTATTCTTGTAGTCCCGATCCTTCCCTAGTCTGTTGCATTGAGCATGAAACAGTTTTGCTGACAAGAACCTTTGCTACTATATTAACAGAGCAAAAGACTGATTTTTATCTTCATCATAATTAATCTTGACTCCAGTTTTGGTCTGTTAATTGGTTCAGGAAACCATCTGCATTGCAGAGAAAACGGGATTAAACCCTTGATTTTGTACCCCACTTTCATCACCACAAAACACAAAAAGAAATGCACCTTTCATATGCAGTCCCTCCTTCTAAAGCTGGATACTGATTAGCTGAACATGTTCTATTATATACAGGCAACGGCTGTCTACGCTTCTTACAATAAGAAAGGTTAAAAAGAAAAGCGAAAAGAGTGTGAAGAACAGAATGAAGCAGAGGGTCTCTGTCAAACATAACACAGAGGGCTGGATTTAAAGCTTGTGCAGGAAGGTTGTAACACACAGAAGGATAGTTTTTAACAAAGAGAAGGACTAAAATGAATCGTGGTCTGCATACACTTTCCCTTCTGTAAGCTAGAAGTAGTCGAGAATAAAATCAGTGAAAGGAGACTCTAGCTAGCTAGTTAACTTAATAGCTCAGCTGCCCCAACAGCTGGGATGCTGCCAAAGAGAACCGAGAAAGCCCCAGTCTGAGCTGTTTTTGTCTTTCTCATTAAAAAAGGCTAAAAATAGCAACAGTTTAGACTTGTGTTTCTGAGAGCTGTCACAGATATCTGAAAATCAGGTTACAAACAAAAAAATTTCCAACACTACTGTGCCAGAAACTGCATTACAGCTGCATTGCTCTTTCTTAGGGTGAAGCTTCACGAATCCAAAATGCCCAGCACAAGCACCTTCCAACACTGGTTTGCCAACACTGAATCTGCAAAGCACCATGTACATAGCCATGCAGACCATCACCTGTGCAACTGTCACACGTGCTTGTCTGAGATCAGGTATGTTATTTTTGACACCAGAAACCCCTTGTCTATTAATCCTCTGTTTAAGCTCAGGTGTCAACAGTTCTGCTTTCATCTAAGCCAATTAGCCCCAATAAGAAACCCACACAATCTGTCTCTGGCTGCTCCTTTCATTTCTGCTTCCTGCTGTTGCACTGACTGTTGAACTTGCTAAGAAAGTAAAAATGAAAACAGTAACTTAAAAAAACACTCTACTATGCCTCGTCTGTAATTCGGAAAATGAGAATCATTTGAAGTTAGGTGAAAGGCACAAAACAATTAGTCACCTTCGTTTTCCCCATTGCTCCACTAGTGCAGGAAGGAAGCCAATCAGCCATGCTGGAGCTGTGGATATATATAAAATCCCACCAAATGACTTACTGGTGGGCATATATACATACACTTGCATTCCAGAAAAGTCTACCTGCTCTTTGTATTTACTGGCATATAAAGAGCTTTTACTTGTAAGTACATGTGCCATTTTGCTGGGGGAGGCAACCATGTGAAATCTGTAATTATGTCCTTGGTAGGATGAAGTAAAAGAAAAATTTTTTTGTGGTGTTTTGCTCCTCCTTAACTTTGCACTTTCAGTTTTCATTTTTACCCTTGTTTTCAGAAAACATATTGGTTATAGTACACCATTGCAACTTACCACCTAGACAGACACTGGAGTGTATTTCAGGTCACACTCCTGTCTTGTACAACTGAAAGGTTTAGCTAATAAAATATAGTAACCTGGCACTTCCACTGCGTGCTCTAGATCAAGCACTCTCCTTTCCACCATCCCTTTCATGGGATGCACAGTCTGCAGCCAGAGCATCTTCCCAGTCTGAATTTGAAGCTCAGCTCCTTTGGAAGGTGGTATTACCATTTGTGTGCTCAGAAAGAGCTTAAAGCATCAGGCAGCAGGACACCTGTCATCTAATAATGGTTATCAGTAAAGGGAAACTGCCAGTACGTCTGAGGTAAGCACTGCAGAAGTTATAGTCAAGATCCTACACATGTGTCCAAAAGAACCAAATTTGTCTTAATGAATGCAAAGCAATCTGGCCACTATGACAACTGAAAGAGGATTTCCTTCTGCCTGTTGTTCTCCAATCTTAGAAAAAGTGCTACGATATCAATAGTTGCAGGCATAATGAAGATAGAATTATTGGAACACACTTTGTGTTTCTCAATACTATTGCACTGGGACTTCTTTCAGAGTTGCCTCTCAATGAAAGATGTTCCACTTATGTTTTCCATTGCTTTAAAACTAATTAAGATAAAAATTCAGGAATTCTTTGGAATTAGGTCTATTTCTGAATAACTACCAAAATAAGCATGAGAACACAACCTGGCAATTCTTGCAAACTCTGAAATACCAGCAGTGCCTTACTTTCTAAGCATCTAGCTTTGCAATAATGGAAACATTTTTCTTTGCTGTGTCACAGCTCTTCTACTGTTACGCTTTTTCTTTGCATGACTTTATGGGAAATTATATTGCTTCTGAGAGCACATCTGTACTGTGTATACTCTACCTTGGGCTCTCCACTTCATAAATCAGCCCTAAATTTTTATCTGAGACGATGTCAGTTCATCACTCACCTTTATTCCTTGTCCAAGACTCTCAAGAGAGTTAATATCCAGACCTTCCTTGCAGGCCTGCAAACAGGAAATCACTTTCTGACTCTCAATTTTTCCTGGCCGGATAGTGAGACTGGCAAGGCTGCCATGGAAATACTGAGCAAATCTTGGCTTGGTGACTTCACCTCCTGCAAGAAAGAGAATAAAAAATGTTTAGTGATACCAGTACACAAACCACCATCTAAAAACTCACTTTATGTTTCAACACATCTAAAGAATTTATATCCATTTTAGCCAAGTGTATTTGAGATCCCATTTACTGTGGTAAGTGGAATTGCTTTGTTAGGTGGTACCTAGTAGCAGCCTGCGTTTAAGATCCTTGTCACTGTTTCTCCAGTATTGCATTCAGGCATATATAATGCTATGATAACATACTCGGAGATGAAACACACTCTCTACAAATGGTTCTGTAAGGATATTATGTAAATTTACAGCAGTGAATGCAGGCCAATGCACAGCACTACACTAAATGCCTTATAACACTCCCCTTACCCCAAAGCAGCTAATTTGGTGCCAGGTCAGGTCTCCTCACTGTATGTTGTGTGAGACCTCTAGCTACACTCTATTCAGTTTCATTCTAGGCAGCTTCAAAGGAAGAGTGATCTTTAGAAGTTGTCAATAAAATGTGATTACATCCTGCCTGCACCAGTGATCACAGCATCTCAATTACTCGTGGGATATTTAGTGATTTAGTCATCCTCCTCTAGAATTTTTAGAGCTTGTCTTTCCTCCAAGTGTTAGCTATAGCAGTGCGTGTGAATTACTGCCCACCTTGAGCCTGAGAGAACTGAGAGCCATGCAAGAGTGAAGCCAAGCAGAGTAACTGGATTAGCAGTTGATAAGCTGTTGATCAACTGTTGTAATTCGTAGATAACTCACCTCTACTGTGTCTGTAGATTTAGTGTCAAACAACCTATTTCTGCCAGGCAAGCTAGCTCAAACTTGAACTTTAAGATTTGTATGTAGACTGGGGTTAGGATAGGGATGAAGTCTTGAGGCTGATGTTGCTACATTAAAGCCTGAAAAACATCACTTCCAGCAGCATGAGCAGTGTTACGAAAACTCAAGCTATTTTACACAGTGAAGAAAATGCACAGTGGTGTAGTGAGAGAATGTGTCTAAGCATGCTATTTCTTCATAGTAGACAGGCTTTGTTCTTTTTTGTTAACCTTGCAGCACAAACTGCCTTTCTGCTTACCCCAGAGAAAGATCCTCAAGGAGAATTATTCTTCTCCACTCTCTCATTCATCTGTCCATTCTACAGAAATCTTCGTGTGGGTAGATTCTTTTTTTGAGGTTTCATATAAACTTTCACGAATGCAACAGCTAAAGTGCAGGATTAGTTTGTACTGTAAATGTGGTCTCTATGATACTTACCAAGACAGCCATTTGGCAAATAGTGCATAACAGGGACATTGGCTTTTTAGCATAAATGTTGTTATATTTCATAGAATCATAAATTCATGGAATAGTTTGGGTTGGAAAAGACCTTAAAGCTCATCCACTTCCAACCCCCTGCCACAGACAGGGCCACCTTCCACGAGACTAGGTTGTTCCAAGCCCCGTCCAATTTAGCCTTGAACACTGACAGGGATGGGACGTTAATCTGTTTACATGGCGTTTCAAGGTACGTGTTACCACTACACCAGAAGCGATGTATCTGCACAGAAGAAAGTAAGCCAAATTAAGGAAAAAAAAAAAAAAAAGGCAGCAAACCTCTCCCTTAAATGGAGACAAGGGAAGAAAAGCAGGTAAGAGCTTACAGAAGAAGAAGGGCATCACATTGTGCTTTGAAGCTTCAGAATCTCATATCCCTAACAGAATTCTGAAGACAGCAAGTTCCAAGGCTAAAACACTAACACTAATCATGGAGCGTTCAAATTTAGAAACCAACATTAAGCCTGCCTGTAGGTTTTAATATTTCTGATGCAAAATAAGCAGTCTCAGATAAGCTAATGTATTTAAATCTTAAACTAGCTCACTAAAATGCATAAAGGACTAGGCAAGAAGCTAGAACAAAGAATTCAATATGCCTCGCAGAAACAAGCCAGATAAAGTAGTTGAAGTAAAGCTATAGAGCAACACAACCGGTGCTTACACCCATGAATAGGAACTTTGGGTTTGGATTTTGTTTGTTTTTTTTTAATCTTTCTTTGTTCCTACAATTACATTGCTAGGTCATTTACAATGATACAACTGCCCAAACCCATATTAAATATACAGAGTATTCACTGTGCCCAAGCACCACTTTAAAGAAAGGCTGGTGTACAAGGAGGTGTTAACCACACTGGAGTTGTGTAGTTCTTGTTTAAAGTGGACTATGAAGGAGGTGATGTAATCTATGCTCTGGAGAGACTATCAACTGCTGTGTGAAAAAAGTGAGTATTTCAAGAAAATGTGAGAGAAAAATAGCTGGGACTAGCTGGTCTCATTCTGTGCCAGTAATCCGCAGTACTATGCCTACGGTTACAACAGGGTGATTCAGGCCTGGGACAACTGCACTACAACAAACAAAAGCTTAGCCTGAAAGGACACTGGGGGATGACACAGTCTGTCCCCGAGACCCAAGACAACAAGAGCTTTACTTAATTAATTCTTGAGAATTGCCTGAGCAATTCTCTCTGGAGAGAGGTTGCTCAAGTAATCCACTCCAATGACCACTGATCCTTAAAGTTGTAAGTTTATTCCTGTTAGGGAACATGACCTATCAAAACGTGGCTATGTATCCCCATGGGTGGGGGAACTTTCAAGCAATGGGATACACACTTACCAAAGGCCACCTGGTTGGTCAACACCAGAGGATCTGCCCAAAGGGCTGGCCCAGCCCAATCAGAACTTTTACATATTGTAGAGGGGGACAAAGTTCCTGTGGTGTATATGAAGAATTCGCTGGGGAAGACAGTCTGGGTTATTCCTGCTTCAAGTAAAGGCAAACCCACTCGTGGGACTGCTTTTCCTCAGGGACCTGGATACACTTGGTGGGTAATGCAAGACGATGGGGAAGTCCAATGTATACCTCAAGGGGATTTAATTTTAGGGGAAAACAGCCAATGAACTTAATTGTATGCTGTTGCCTGCTGTGTAATACTTTTATAGCCAATCAACTAGATGTCTTCAGGTCACCAGCGACTAGCTCTGACTTCCCTCCAACCATCATCCGAACAGAGAATGAACTTTGATAGAACCAGATGAGTCCTGCAGTAAGGGAACGATCAGCATCAGCAGGCAACGATCCAATACTGCACACAGCCTCTCCTGTTCTGAAAGACTGTTACAAGGGATGGAGCCTGACATCATGGACCAGATGGACTCAGCTGCCTTATAGGGACTGGTCCATGCACTAAGATAGGAGTGCACTGAGGTAAGAGTGATGGTATATTGCAAATATGGGATCTGAGCATGATGTGAATGGTATGGAATAAGGGGTGGATACTGTCCTGGGTTTAGCAGTATGTCCTGGGTTCAGCAGTAGCAGTCATTTTTTCTCTTTCTCGGTAGTTGGTGCAGTGCTGTGTTTTGACTTTCGGCCTGGGAACAGAGCTGATAACAATGATGTTTTGGTTTGGCAAAGGACTTTGTGAGCCTCATGCACTGCCAGGGAGGAGGGGAAGCCCGGAGGAAGCAGAGACAGGACATCTGACCCAAACTAGCCAAAGAGGTATTCCATGCCACAGCACGTCATGCTCAGGATGTAACTGGGAGTTACCCGGAAGGACAGGGGGTCTGCTGGGTTGGACTCGTTGTTCGGCGGGTAGTATTGTACTCTTTTCCCTTGTTATTATCTCTTATCACTGTTGATGTTGGTGGTAGTGGTGGTGATTTGTGTTGTACATTGGTTACTGGACTGTTCTTATCTCAGCCCGTGGGATTTGCATTCTTTCAATTCTCCTCCCCATCCCTCTGGGAGCGGGGAAGGGGGGGAGCCCCTGGGGAGGGACGTGGGCCTTGACTGCTTCCAGCCCGGCACCACTCACTGGGAGTGAATGCACAAGCTGTCTGGCTGGTTTTAAGCCAAGACACATTGTTTTGACTCCAAAGACACCCAATGCTGTTTGCATTCACTTACCCATCTCCAAAGAACAGTCATGCCTTTCTGTCAAACCAACTGACTTCACTGAGCTCACAGATCTTTTTTGGCCTTTTGCTCTACCCTAGTAATGAACAAATAATTATCAGGGCAGTCTGAGCACAAGGAGGTTTTCACAGGAAATGACGAATCAAGAAGATTTTCAACTGATATGTGATCCTGTTAAGACATGATAGACTCTGATTACATTGAGCCAGATAATTAAGGAATGATCGATTATTCAGGATCCCAGCATAAAGATCAAAGTGAATCTGTAAGGAACTGCAAGACATTCTCCAGCTCTAAAGTCCTCAGGTCCAAACCTCCAGTTTTATCCAGTTTTTACTATGGCATCTTAGGGATCTGGGTTTAATTCCCTGACAAGTAGACTGGCTGTTAAACAGGCTAACACAGATTTCAGGAGTAGTACTAATTAGCACATTGAAATCCACTACATCTTGTATTTAATGAGGAGGGCAATAGACAGAAAACACTGCTGTACTAACAGAAGCATCAGTATAGATAGTCACATTATGTTGAAATCTACCTAGGTGGTCTTGCATTAATTTGCTTGCATCTACTGAGGACTCCGGTTGGTGCAAGTTACGTCAGTCCCCAAGGCATGACCCACTGGTGTTAGAATGCACAGTAGAGGGTAATCTTTATCTGATGGATCTTAATTTCTAGATGAAGTCCAACACTGAGTGATACAGACTTCTGTTGTTGCTACACTACCCACAGTGTTATTTGCCCCTCAGTGATCTGGTCTCTCTCCGACTCTTAACCATTCTCCTTGCCTAGCATAGCTAGTCAGTTCTCTGACTGCAACTTTGTGATTGATATGTCAGCAGGGTGTTGATATATGAGGTTAACAAGGGCATTCTACAAGGACGCTATAAAAAAATTGATCTTCAACCAAGGTTAAAGAAAGAGGAAAATGACAGCAGAATACAAAAGAAAAACAGAACAGAAACCAGAAATTATTTAGAAAAAAAGGAACTACAATAGCTTTCTGCTGCGTTCATGATAATAGTTTGGTGACAGGCTTCCTCTCAAGACCTT